ACATGATGATTTATGAAGAATGTAATAAGGTCTCATTTAGAATATATTTTAATTTATGTATTTGCAAGTATCTAGAACCCAGATTACATATATGTAATGTATTGTTTAAAGTTTATTCAAATGAGAACATTATAGATTTACAAAATTGATTTATAAGAGCAAAATTTGCATGTAAACCTAATGTAAACATAATCAATCTACGAGACAGCGAATGATATATTCCTTAAAATCTTAAATTTTTATATTAAACGACTAGCAAATATAAACATGCAATTTTTGTCAACTCTAACATCTATTCGAATATGAAAATATTTCTAATTACTACAATCCAAAGTCAGGTAATGAGAGTTAAAGGCATTTGTTGACGAACGTAGTAAAAGTAATCATTAGTTATGAAGCAGATGAATGAAGAGTCCGTGAATGATACTCGTATATTCCTTTAAAACCTTAATTATTATTCGAAAGTCATTTAGGTTTTCGAATATAAAAAATGTATTATTGTCAACCCTAACATCTATAGAAATGTAAAAAAATGTATTATTATTATTCAAGTGTGAGATAGTCACAGTTAAAAGCTATTACCTATTATTAAAAGTAACTAGTTCATATACACATTATTTTCTGAGCCTATTGGAATTTCACTTGGCAAAAACGAGCTGGTAAGTGAGCATCATCTTTCAGATTAATAAGGCTTTGTTAACAATATTTCTCATTATCAAAATAAGTCGGGAACTTAATTGATTCACAAAGTTAAGAAATATAATCCTTTGCAGATTAGGTACAGTCAGCAATATAAGTACAATACAAATATTAATAAAACCTCCAAGCAATAAAATCATAAATAAAATACAATGTTAGATAAGAGACAGAGAGAAAGAGAGGAAGAGAGACGAAGCAGTATATAATGCCCCATTCTTTTTTAACACAACCGAGTACGACAAATAACTTAATGATCCACCTGATGGAAAGCGGCAACTAGTGCCTACAGAGATACGTTATGCATATAGCACTATGGATATTATAAAATATATTGTAATGTCCATAGTACTTTAAGTGTTGCTGTTTCTGTGGACTAAATTATGTTTTTGTATCGTATAATTTTATTGCCATATCAAACCCCTTTAAATTCTAATTTGTGTATACAACAGTGTATAGGAGTTTTTAAAATAAAGATATGATCATGTTAATATGTTTTTGGTGCCAACTGTCTCAGTCTTTCTTTTATTCGTTAAACGAATTCAAGTAGCGAAGATCTCGGGGTAAGATTGATTAATAATTACATATAGCCCAGAGGGGGTCTAACAAAATGGCCGTCTACAAAATCATTCATCTCGCAATATTTATTATGGCTACAAGCTGCGTGTTTTATGGGTTTTGACAAGCAAAATTAATGGTACGAGGAACGAGAATCACTCATACTATGGACAAGGGAGATGGGGATTGTTTATTCCAAAATTCATGGTCGAATAATTCATATATATTTAATATTGGTAATGATTTCAAGTGTAAATTGTTTAGAATATTGACTTCTGAATATTTCTGATCGACATCTATTCTTGAATTGTCTAAGAAACTTGAAATTCAGTGTAGTGGAAATTGCTGTCCAACTATTACTGTGAAAATTTGGAAAGATGTACGAATGTCTGTTATTCAATTGAATAAAATTTGGTGTATCATATTCTAAATTAACAATTACTTTTACCATATTCCGCTGTATAGCAAATTTTATTTAAAGCAAATAAGTCATATAAGTATGTATGCGTAATAAACATAACTTAGAAAATTTGTAGGATAACCTATCTAGAAATTCGTATATAATTATCTATATTTACTCTGCAAGGGACTTAACGTGACAGCTTAGAATTACCACACTAGCCAAAATATTTTACAATTTTTATTAGTATCAAGTGGAACTTTCCTCTCTCTTTAAGTGTAAGAACTGAGATTAATAATAAATATCTAGATCGAATATCTTTCTACCAACTCTTCATCTAAAATAATTCAAGTCTTTTTTTGTACACATGAAATTGTACCATAGACTATATCTGAACATATGCGATTCGTCACTGTGTGCATAAGTAGAGTTACCAAAATATAATTATTATTTGTGATACCAAGAATATCGCACTTTGAGTATTTCATCTTAAACTATATGAAGTAAGTACAAAATCTTATAAGAAATACGAGTGTCCTTCAATCATTCGACCAGTAATAACTCAGACTTCACATAAAGCTCAAGTCGGAATGAGAAAACGCTATGATAATCTGTAGAGAATCTACTTGATTCTACGATATAAATCTTAAGGGAGGGAGAGTATAAAATGTGTAACGAGCGCTGTTACTTTAATGTTACGGATCATGTAATAAATAAAATATAAAACAGTAAACAAGACTGTTATTATTCAAAATTAAAAACGGCGCTGCGTACATTATGTACCTATAATTATAAAATAAACATTTTTTTATTTAAGTTATATGTTTTATAAGTATAAGATATAATTATGCAGTTATCTTCAATCACTATATTATTAATTTGTATTGTTGTTTTTTTGGTGTATTTTATTTTTAGGTGATGTCACATAAATACTATAACTTTAATTGAAGATCGTTCATAAATTTAGCTTACCGAAATGTGTCAAAGTTGCAATTGACTGTCAATATTTAAAAAATAATTGTATAAAATTCAATGTGTTTGATTGATTATTCAAAAAGTACTCCGTTAGTGAATTAAAGCGATAATCAAGGAATACGTTGCAGATATATCTACCATTATAAACTTTGCATTTACTTCATATTTTATTTCGGAATTTTACAAATACATTTTTGCCAACAAAATTAAAATTTTCAATGACAGCTTAATAATGCATGATTAACATTTTAGTTTATATATTGTTAGAATTCCTGCATTATTGTGAATCCCATTTTTTTTAATTATTTTATATTTTAGCAAAGGAGTTGTTGTCTTTTTAATTTACGGACAATATATATTTATTTTCTCTTGTAAGTCTAGTAGGTATATAATATTACTCTAAACATATTTGCCAGATGAAGACTTTGTACAAAAGTCGTTTGCTTGGGCACCTCTGTCCCATTCATGTTTTTACCGTGAAGCAGTTGTGTTTGCATGGCTGTATTTCGGTTTGAAGGGTGGGATATGGCAGTGAATTTACAGAGTACGAGTACATAGGAATAATGCCGTCTTCAGAGTCCTCAGGAAATGCAACGCATAGGGGGTATCAAGGGCGAAACAGTATACTCTGTTATATCCATGGTACTGCTCATGTTTATAGGTGACGGTTATCACTTTCTATCAGGTGGGCCATCAGCTTATTTGTCATTCTAAATTGCATAAAAAATCATATTCATCACTCCACATTACAGCTGGCTTTTCTCTTTTCTGTCATATATCTGATATTGGCTATCTTGTAATAGGATTAGTTTTTCAATTCGTTAAACGTCCGCTCCGAGATAATTTCACTAACCCTGTTATCCAGTTGTTTACAAAATTAGATTCTATCAAGAGGCGTAGTTAATACGCCATTGAAAAAGGTCTTATAGAGATCCGAGTATTACATTTAACGTCATTTTAAAAAGTACTGTGCCCGTGGCTTCATTTATATATAATATAATAATCTTCCAACACAATCATAGAGTAAAGTTTGGGGTTTCTATTTTGCTAAAAGTTTCTTACACATTTTTATATGTTATCTATTAACTTCTTTGTAATTAATTTGTTATTTAATTTATTTACAAGATATTTTTAAAAGTTTCTGTATTTTATATGTTAACCTATATAGAATATTTCACTATGGTCAGCCCGATAGTTTTTATCAGCAAGACTAAAATATGAAGAAATATACAATCATCATCGTCTTCCGTGGGCTAAAGTATGCATTAAAGATACCTATTATATATACTTAATCAACATTTTATAAAACATTTAATGTGCAATTTTGACTTCGTTACTATTTTATATGTGTAAAAATTATGTTGCTTTATTTTAATACTTAATTATATTTACACAGATAAAATAAAATAGAAAGTAGATAATATACCTATTAATAGAGAAATAATATAATGATGTCAGTAAGATAACATGAATATTGTGTTTGAGAATATGGAACATGTTTGAAAATTTGGATAAGATTACAGTAAAAAACGAAACCGAAGTAGAACGATCAATGATACTAAGAGATTATTATTTTTTATATATATTAGTAATTTCTTTTAGGTATTCTCACTAATGTTAAATATCAATTTCATAGTAAAAAACTTTGTTTTTAAATTAAGTTTCTTCTCATCCGGACAAGAACCAACTATTAAAATACTAACGACAATGTAAAATATAAGACAATGCATTTATTGTTACCATACCTTATAGAACTCTCTTTTATATTTTATAACAAAATACATGCTATACCTATAATATTTAAATTTATTGTAATTGGATAAAATGGTTGAGGTTTTCAATATCAATAACAGAGTAACTAATCAGTAGATTAAGGATATTGCTGACGGTCCAGTTTCTATAGTCTTAATCAATACGTTTTATAAGAGTTGGCACTGTCCTTATGTCAATGAAACTACGAAATGAATCTATGCAACTATCTATATATATATATTGTACAATGTATTTATAATATGTCTCTGAAAGACCTTATTACTTAATAAAGTATTTTTTTTTTATATTCAATGAATTGGTTACATAGATTTCATACAAAGTTTTCTTGTTCAAAGGGACGTAGGCCTGGTACCTATCTAATTTAATAGTTTTTAATAAAATTAATTGAAACACTGCCATCTAAATATGGTAGCTAAATAGTCATAATTGGGTTAAATGTTAAAAATGGTTTATAAAACATATTCTAATGAAACATACATTGTGGATAGTACCTGCGGTTATAATCAAAAGTTTATTATCGCTCTATGGATTCATTTTTATGTAAAAAAATAACAATAAATTGTCTATGATCTGACCATTCGCGCACTTTTTAACGTACCCTCGGTTGGACTTGAACTGCAGAAGGCGGGATTTGAGCCCCCGACGTGGCAGAAATTTGGGGCCTCCGTGTGTGCTAACAACAACCCTTCTATTAGTTTTTTTTTTATCGTTGTATTTATTTACAGTTAGCTACAATAACAGTATCGAAAGGAAATGTCAAATACATAATAAGGTTTATGTATAATCCATAACACTATAAAAAATAAAATAAAAAAATAGGTACATTACCAATAATAATGTTATGTATACATTAGTAATATGAAATGTAAAATAATTAGATATTCAAGTCATATAATTTTATTTTCTATTTAAAAAAAATGGCTCAAAAATCATTATATAGGTAAAAAGTTTAGGTTTAATATCTTCGTCGTCTATACACAGACGGATGATGGATTTGGGCTATTTTCAATTTGTTTGTACAGTTTAGGAGACAAAGGGACTTAACGTATACATCCATTGTATTGTTTTTGTTTTTCCTTGTAAAAGAGTGAGTAGAAAAAATATTGGTGTAACCACTCAAAGTTAAGTGCTCTCAGGGGAAATCTATTGTCTCAGGAGCCAATGAACTTGACAAACAAGATACCATACAAACATACAATAAACACGATAATACCTAACTTTTAATTTTATGGGGAGTTCACTTTCAATTATGAAAATACTGGTTTCTTATTCTTTGTTTATTGTATACTTAATTTATTTAATTCAAAATACAGGCATTATTTGATAATTAATTAAATAAATAATAAATTATTTAAATATAATAAAGACATACAGATAATAACAACTTATTATTATTAATTATTTTATTTCTTTTCCTTTAAATGTTATCCATCATTTTTTTAAGAAATCAAAGAATTAAATTACATGAAATATAAATAGGTATTCTGTTTGTATTTTAAGCTATTTATTTTAAAATATGAATAACTATTCATGTAATTATTATTATAAATTCTATTATTTAATTAAAATTAAATTATACTTAGTTTAAATGGTTTTTCCAATATAGAACTGAAATGTTAAAAAATAAACTAAAATATTTTTAATAAATACACATTTATAAAGAACTTTATTAATTTTCGGATCATTTACTATCGTTTCGCACTATTAAATCTACATTTAGAGAATACTTCGCAGACCTTTATAGCACAGTAGTCATTCCAATGAGACCCAAACTTTTAATTACTCGAGATCTTGTGATCATTAAGAGAATACCTATTGGAATTTCGCACAAGTTTTAAGTATTTTTCAATTAAAAATACTTTTATAAATGACGAAACTTAATTGACTGATTGTTTAATTAATAAATAATTGATTAGTTGTAATTTAATATAAATATAAGTGATTATTGGTAAGATATAAATTACTTATAAGATTTCTTCATTGTATGGCTACACACAATCATATACCGATTATAAAATACGCTTTAATTGGAAACCCTTTTAAATTAACCTTCAGTCTTAATGGATCAACTTATTTATCCTCTAAGCCTAATTTAATAATTCAACGAATTTCAATTTTCATAAAGGGCTGTTTTCGCCTTCGATACTTCCGCGTTAATTTTCTGCTTATATTAATTAATACTGCAAGAACTTATAAATTTTTGTAAATAAAAATGACAATATTTAAAATACTTGTAAGTCAATTTCAGTAGTGTCATTGTAAGCAGATTACGGAAGTTATATGTAATTTGTCTTTCTATTACTGGCATAATTAGTAAATAATTTTAGCGCACATTCTTATAGAATTTAGATGTTTAAAAATAAAACAGATATTTTGAAATAGTTAATATCTCTTTAAGGGGATGTTCTATTAGTGAAATTAAAGAATTTTACTAAAGAAACACGGATTAAAGAACGATAAAAAATTATGAACTATTAACATGCGCGTCAACATTTTTGACTTAGTATGGGAGGCTCAAAATTTTTTTCATTTTTGAATTGTTGACTCACGAAATTTCTGTCCTAATATATTCTATGTAAAATTTTTAGTTTACTGCCCGACTTTGATTTTACATGTATTTGTAACAATTGTATATATAATTAGCCAATTAATAAAGAGCCTTTTTAATTAACTATTTGTTTAAGAAATTAATTTTACTTTAATATCACCATAATGTAAATTGCAATTTGTTCCGCATTTATTAACTAGAAGGTTAAAATTCATATAGTTCGAAAAACAAGCTATGACTCTATGTTTCTCAGTAAATATCTCATAAATTTTTTTAAAAATGTATAATAATTATTATAAAAAAGTAAGTCAATTAATTAAAAGAAAATAGGTCGTCTGTGTAAAAAATAGGTTTACTGTGTAAAAATAAATCAACTGTGTAAATTGGCATTTTCTATAATACTCACTCAGAGTTGGTCTCTGGGGTTGGCAGGTCACCAATGGTGGTTAACGTCAGGGTAGACCAGTAGAGGGAGCCCAAATACTTCCTTGTCAGGGTTGCGTAGTCGCCTGGACGATGAGGATATGCCCAGTCACCCTGGAGATTACAGTAACAGTCATAAATAAATATAATGTGAAGTAATTTTATTATGCAATCCAGAATAAAAAACAACCTAACGGCCCACTTGATAGAAAGAGGTAACCGTCACCTATAAACGTGTCATATATATAGAATATACTATGATACCTAGTTTCACTAAAGGATATTTTATTTATTTATTTATTCAATAAAAGTAATTATAACATTATGACAGAAAAAATCAAATCAATGTTATAAACCTAGTGTGCTAACATACAAAATTATAATAAAGGTATTTAACCCGACTAGATATTTCCGAGCCGTTTCTAATATCTTTGGCAGGCTATTATTAAAAATATCAATGATGTTTATAATAATAATATATGGTACCATATCTTTGCTGTGAAGCAGCTGTGCTTAAATATGCGTTTGAATTCAGTTTGAACGGTAGAGAATGATAGTGATATTATAAGGTCTGGAGACATAACACTTTAGTCCTCAGAACGCATGAGGACTAAAGTGTTATACCATGGTTATCATACTCGTAGTGTATTCTGTGATATGCATAGTGTAATCATGGCACTATTGTGATATTCATGGATATCACAACAGTACCATAATTTCACTGACATATTTCACACTCAAACCATTTTATCCCATCAGTGTTTTAAAATACAATTGTTATCCATATAGACTAGAATACATACTTATGTTACCTCACAGACAATGTATAAATGTTATAAGCATTAGATAAACACTTCCAGGATCCCTCGTCACAAACAAACCCTCGTCTTGATCACTAACGTGACGTGAATGATGATTGTCCTCCGGTTTATTTCCTTGTGGCTCTTATCACATTACTCATAATGCCGTAATTATGTGAAGCAATAAATCTCTTCAATTTAATTTAATTATGATATTTTATTCATTTATTTATTTATTATATAAACTGGATAAGCTTTACTGTCTCCCAATACGCTCACGCAGGAAAGCATCAGTACAATAACACATATACAAAGGAATAATAATTAAAAAGAATAATATTGAAAAGAGTTAACTAGAAATAACATTACAGCTTAAATCTTTAAACACAAATACTCTGTGGTCATTCGACGAAACTCTAGCAAGTTGGTGGCAAATACATCCAATTGCGGATACCGGCTCAAAATATCATCGAGTAGTTTCAATGCAAGAGATAGAGGTGCTCGTTTAGCTAACTTTGTTCACCTCATATACATATATATAAATTATATCATATATGAATATATTCAGTGTTTTTGGCACCAGCAATTTAGATGTCACCAAATATTGAATTTACATGTCATATCCTAAATTGACGATGCCGGATAAAAATTTCAAAAACTCCGGATATTTAAGTGAAATTGAGTTTTTTTTCTAAGACATCGTTTGGTCTCGGCATCGAATAGGCTACGCCTTCTTCTTTCGTGCGTGTTGTAAGAGGCGACTAAGGGAACTTGAAGTTCGAGGATTGGGCAGCGGCGTCTTAAAACATCACCAAAGCCTAACTGCGGTTGCCAACCCGTCTGCTAAACTTGGCAACTACTGGCAAAACTACTAATAGGAGGAGGCTTATGTACAGCAGTGGATAGGTAACGGCTGTTATAATGATGATGAAGAGACAGTTGAAATGTTTTGAACGGGACACTTTAGAAGCCTTCAAAAGCCCTTTAAACGATACGACAACATAACCTTCAAGAAAAGAGCATATTTCTTTTTAAAAGGCCGGCAGCACACCTGCAATGCCGTAGGTGTTGTGGGTGACCATGGGCGGCGGTAGTCACTTACCATCAGGTGAGCCGCATGCTCGTTTGCCCCCTGTGTTGTAAAAAAAAAATGGGGGAATATAGAAGGTTGGTAGCTCTACAGACACCAACCTTCCTGTAGATGTTTATACATTAGATAGGAATACAAAAAATACAGACGAATAAATAACAATTTAAATAACAATTTTTGAACAACTAGTCAAATAATACAAATATAGAGAAAATACCCTTTTTTTAAGTTTCGATAAAGAACGTTATGTTTGATCACCAGAAGTATTATCTTATTAATATAATAAAATTGTAACTAGACCGGTGTCTGTACATGAAAGAAATTGGAGAAAATTTTATATGAAGGGCACTAATAAGAATAATAAAAGCCAGAACAACGTTATTTAGATACTTTGTCTGTATATTTGTTTCGGCATCACACAAAAACTACTATACTAAATTAGATGTAGTTTTCACAGTTGTATTCCTAAAGATCTAATTTAGAAATTAATATAAAAGATATACGATTTCGATACAGCATCTAGAAGTATTTCGTTGATTTTCGTACTTCTGAAACCCATATGAATTAACGGGTAAGCTAGCTAGAAAACGAAACTAGTGGGGTATTATTTTCATGAAGTTAAGACATTATTTTAAAGCCATAGTGACTTTTGACAAATTTTATACAGAAGCGACCTGATACGAAGGTATAACGATGTCCGAGATGGTTATTCATTCGCCATTATGTGGAAATAGGAAGAAATTTAATAATAGGAAATCGTTACTGCAGATTGAACTTAGGCATTCGGGCGAACGTAGGTAGGTCATGCCTATTTGTGAACTATCTAGTTTATTTTACTGAACTAGATGTTATCTAGCAGAAGTCTTTATATATCATTGGTTATTTGATTTAGAATCATTTTGTTTAATTTAGCACACCATTAGTGTGTGACAGTCGACACTCGAAGATTAACTACCACTATTAATACCAGAAGTTCTACAACCATCCATATTTGCCATCAGTCTTTGACTGTCATTTTATTCGTGCAAATACAGACACTAATGGAAGCGGAATTAAACAAAATAATTTTGATCAAATATCCAGTGATATGTGGGGTTACTCTTGAAATAAATTCTAATAAATTGATATTAAAATTGAGATGTTTCGCACTTTCGAATTGCAATACAAGCGGTTCTATACTGTTCTGATAGATGCATATTGTGCAACTTGTCAATGTAAACTATTGTAAACCTATACCAATGATTTATTTATTTATTTATTGGAAAACCAATAGCTTAAAACAATATTAACTTATCCATAAAAAAGCCAATAACAGGTTTTCAGTGACTTAGCGATATAAATTTGTCGTGGCTAGAGTAATTATAAAATTTTGAATTATTCTAATTACCTAATTATAATCTTTGCCAATGACAATTTTCATTGGCAATATATTGGGATTGATATTGATATTAGATTCAAGAGTAGACCAGTTGGATTTCCGCTAGACAACACCTAATCAAATAACCTACTATCTAGCTTATATAAACTTTGTAAGCTATATGGAAGCTGTATAAACATAGTTTATTACATTAACTATATGTGATAAACTTTACCAAGTAGTCTCTTGGTATTATAAAGGTGGATATACTAAATAAACAAAGAACATACTCGTAGAAACATATAAGCTACATAACCAAGTATATATAGTTGGTATCGACTGAGACACACAAAATTGTTTGTGCACACAGCTATAACTCGTAAGAACTATAAATTGTGGTCATTCATCTTTTAGCGTGTGTTATATGTATGTAGACTGATTATTTTAGTCTAAATAGAAGAAATAAGATGTTTTTGTAATCGTGGAAGATTTTTCTATAATTAGTTGGTATATAATATAATACATAGGGGAGGTCTATATTCAGTAGTGGACAGTTGGCGGCTGATATGATGATGAAGATGATATAAAATAATGATATTTTATAAAAATGCTAGCAGAATCCCACGGCTTCGCTCGTGTGAATTAGTACATGAATTCTGTGTTCTATTATCTACATATGGATCCCTGGTCACTCAAAAAATTATGGAAATGAAACAGCTGACCAATTAGCAAAGGAAGGGGGCAAAGAATACTCAAATAGAACCAGAACTTATTGTGGCATACCTCGAAGCCTAACATTTAGACACCTCAAACTTGAAAGCTTAAAAGCATCAAATAATGGCTGACTCTTGTTGCCAGGATTATATCACTCGATTGATCAAGGGGTTCTCAGAAAATTACTCTAAGAAATGAATTCTTTTGAGTAAAAATAATGTGTTTGTATTAACAAGGGCTCTCACTGAATACTACAAACTAAACATGGCCCAACTAGGCTTATGCCCAAAAAGGGTTTGCAGATTTTGTCACAATGAGGAAGAAACGCCGCAGCACTTAATTTGTGGTTATATCCCACACTTATATAAACAATATATCTCCTTTGAAAAATATAGTTTATATCCTGAGTAGATAAAACATATCGCTACAAAAAGCATATTAAAATTCCTATCACTGACAGAAAGCAGTGAACTTTAAAAAAAGGGCGAGCACAAAAGATCATGGAAAGGTTACAGTGACACAGCTATTCTGCCTGAAAAAATTCCGTCTTTCAATAACAATAACCCTATGTCCTAAGTTAGGATATCTATTTGTGTACTAAAAATGTATTTCATTAAAATTCGTCCAATAGTTCTTGCGTAAACAAACATCCATCCATCTTCACAAACTTTCCCATTTATAATTTGTAGTAGGATTTTTTTAAATAAGTATAAATATCTACAGAACTTTATAACCGACGACTACAAATGGAGAAGGTCGAAAAATTTATAGATCATATAGTGATCAGTATTTCAAATCAAAAAAGTAAATTAAATAGATATTGCCTAAAAACCATGAAAGCAAACAGTAGGAATATAGGAGCAGATTTTTGCCTACATTTTAAACAGACATTATTAAAAAAAATGGAACGAGAAAGTAAAAAGAATCTATTAGAGTTTTCTACTGCTGCTTAGTTGGTATACCGACAGCCTTGGCTATGAAATTCGCTAAAAGCTTTCTGCCCGAATAAAAAGTGATGCTCGGAACAGTATTGTTAGGCCGGAAAACGAATGAATTAGACAAAGAACTAGACTTAGAAACGTTCTTTACAAGATAATTTATGTACTAACAAAATTGGAGAAAACAGAAAATATAGCCAGACTGGATAGAGACAGTGGCCTAGATTCTTTAGTTTTAGTAAAATTGGAAAAGTGAGATAGACTAAAACAAAGTTGAGATTATTGATCTTCAAAGAATGAAAGGGAGGATTAATGAATCAAATGGTTATTGTTATTACATCAGCCGTTACCGTCCACTGTTGAACATAAGCCTCCTTTATAATGGTGGTTTTGCAAGCAGTTGTCACGCTTGGCAAGCGGGCAGGCAACCGAAGTTAGACTTCGGTGATGTTTTAAGAGAGACCGTGCTACCCATTTCCTAGACATTAAGTTCCCTTAGTCGCCTCTTACGACACCCACGGGAAAAGTGGGGTGGCCCATCCATTATGCCGGGACGACATGGTAAGTGATTGCCAATAAAATAAATATAATTTTATGATACTCCTCATACGTGACTATTTCGGAGGACTAATGTTATACGTCCATGCCCTGTAATTTCACTGTCATTACCGCTCTTAGTTAGTTTAATAAAATCTATTGCTATTTTAACAATCAACTATGTTTGATTTTAATTAATAGCAAAAATAACTGCATCTGTACCGTAAATACTTATATTTTTAATGGGTTTCGTTTATAATAATCTATTCGTTTATTGTTGAAATTACGGAAAAAGCTTGGACGAAATTGCGGAATTTTATTTTGCTCCTAGTTGAATCTAATATCATGTTCTGGAATTTTGTCTTGCCTTAAAAAGTTTGATATCCCTCTCCTTACTCCATCACTGTCAGAAAGTAATACTGAGCGCTTATTTCAGACCCGTTTCAACATATTATTACCTTTTCATGTGCGGTTCCTTTCAATACACGCCGTGTGGTTTCAATCAAACAAATGTAGGGGTTAAACATATAAGCGATTATAATATTTGGTGCTTTATTTTAATGTATCTATTATATATAGGATGAGCTTCTCTGTAGGATCATAAAATATGACTTTTAGAAGAGCTTGTAAATTTTATTTGAATAAAAATAATTTAAATTTAATAATTAATACCATAAGCCACTTATCGAGTTTCGATTTTAATCATTTTAAATCTATGTCTTCCTATATAATATTATGAAGAAGAAAGATTTGATAGTTTGTTAGCAATGGATAAACTTAAAATTTAGCTACATTATCAGCGCGTAATATTATATTATTTTTGAATATTCTATTTACCCGGGCAAAGTCAGGACAGTTGACTAGTTATTTCTTTTCTTGTTCTCTGCCTTATTAGATATGGGCAAAGATGGTGATATAAATACAAAAAGCATAGATTTTCACTAATGAAAAGAGGATTTAGCTAATTACATGCTTGCTAAGTGATCTGGTATCTATCGATTTTAAAAAGAAGGAAGTTCTTGATTCGGTTGTTTTTTTTTTAATGTTTGTCTAAACTACATACTAAACTGATTTGAAAATTTTTTTTTTATTTGAAAGGACATACTTACAGATTGGTTCCATAGAAATTATATCAAAATCACTTTGGTAGTTTACTCCTTAAATTAAAATAACTGGTTTTGTCAAAATCGAAGTTAGTTCTTTGCGGGATACAATCTTCATGAGTTCTTCTTCTCTTGCATCGGTGTTTTGTATATGTGTTTTCTTTAACTTTAAATCGACTTTTATGACAACTCGAGGAGTGGATATAAAAAGGAATGATGACTCATTGTATTCATATTTTCTCGCTGTACATTTCTTGTTACGTGTTTATTTATTTACGTTTACAATAGCATCTGAAGCGCGATGATATGTGGCAACATCCAAGAATGTCGGAATGCAAAATACTTGAGACGAAATACTTTTTTGAAATACAGGGGCATGTTGGTGAAAGAGGAATGGCTTAGATCATATGCCTTCAAGAGCATAATTTCTTTTTAAAAGGCCGGCAATACACCTGCAATTATCTGACTTTGCGGGAGCCTATGGGGGGCGGTAATCACTTATTATCAGATGAGCCGCATTGCTCATTTGCTCTCTATGTTATTAAAATATGCCTTAAATAAAACATAAAATTTTCCCAAAATCCTACTAGAATCGAGTTTTTTTTATTCTACTATGATGGTAAAGAAGCATACAAGCGCAGACCGTTTGATGGTAAACGGGGTTATAGACGCCCCATTTATAACAACAAGTTATAATTTATAAATATTAAAAAAAATATTAGTCTATCACATCAAACTAAAGGTAATTAAAGGTTCTTTTCAAATTTAAAAAAGGTGCCATTATAAATTATTGACAAAAACATATAATTAGTGTCTGTCAGCGAGATGATGTAAAAATTTTAACGGTACCCGGTATTTGAAATGAGGACATTTAAAAATACCAATATTTTAAATAAATAAATAAACCTATTTAAACCTTATGGTAGAATAAAGAAACACATCTCGTATATGGACTTCGAAAACATTACACTCCTTATTTTTGTCAGTAAAATAAAAAGTACTACTTTTCTGTAGATGGAATGGAAATACCACTGTTGTTGATTTTAGAGGACACTTCGAGCTGCGTTTCGGGTTTACTGTCCTATATTTTAACTTTTTTGTAAGCCACTTTCGTTACTCTCGCGCCTTATAAATGGTATCTGCATTTGAAGTGATCAATCTTATGCGTAGTCTCTAAGGAAATTAGTCTCCGGTTAGTAAGGCTTATCTTTTAAAGGATCTTTGGAGATTTGAAGCCATCATTTTTATTTGATACATTGGAAATTAATTATTATCATTGTTTTCAATATAAAGAACACAAGATTCATAATTCTAAACTTTTCCCCGACTTAATTTAAATAAATTCCCGCCTTTTAATTTTTAATTTTTTGACACGGAAAATTATTTTTAATATAATGTGACAATGAAGTCCAAATGAGTTCCAGAAACCTATTCATCGAAATAACCAAATTAAAAAAAAAGTTACTGCTTTTTCATCTTTTATGTATTTTTTTTTATCGACAATTGCAGACAGCTTGTTTTCCCAACACTTAAAACTGCTAATGGCGCCTTAAATCATTTAATGGCGCGTCAACTCTTTAGAAAGCATTAAGAGTGTATTAAAGTCGTTTATCAATAATTTTATTGTCTAAAACGTGACCTGTGTAGTTCTTAATCATAGCTATAAATACATTTTATAAAAGGCATTTTTAATATAATATTAATAAAGAAAAATAATTATTCTGTGATTTTAGTTATTCGTTTCTTATGATAAAACTCACTTTCCAAGTAGGGTTTTTTAATTAAGAGTTATCGTGGTAACTGATTAATGTGTTCTCCTACTACCAGCTCTATTTCATGTCCTTGACCTACCCATACAACATAACGTCTAGTATTTATTTGTACTATGCAGTTGTTTATCGCTTTCCCTTTTTTTTGCCCTTTGTCTTTTCTTAGAAGAATAAGAGGTAAGCAAGAAGAGAGTAAAAATAAATAGAAATAGTTGACTTACTTGGAAGCCCTCAGCCTCTGACAGCAAGAAGTAGAAACAGCCGAACCAATGTGCGAGGATCAGGAGTATGTGGATCAAATTGATGACTCTCCAGAAGTTTGGGTAGACGGTCCTTGATTCGACGATATAATAACAGCTAACTGCTCTGTACACCTGGTGATATTGAAAAGATTTTCTGAGAAGTCTCAATATCAATGTCACTTCTGAATCAATAAATATTAACATAAATACTAAAAACGTACGTGACCGAATACATCTACGTGGTTGGAATGGAAGTATTCTTCTATGATTGGAAAGCTAGTGAATCCAATTTCAAATTTAGAAAAATAAAATACAAATAGAGATGTGACATTATTAAAAAAACAAATTGAAGCCATTGATTTGGTATAATACTAGTGTTGTGCTATATATTGTTTGAATTTGTTTTTTTTTTATGTACTATTTGTTTTTACTTTAAATTATTGTTAGTATAAAATTCAAAAATGTTTTATGTAATGACACACGTAGTATTGACGGAATCGTGTAATATAAGTATCCACACATAAAATATGTAGATGAATTTATTGATTACACGTTTATTATATTAAAAAAAAAATACACTTACTTTGAGAAACCTAGGGAAACGAATGATAGGGTTGGTACCGATCTTCAACTGGATTAGATCTAGGGGTGTCAGCGATGCAATATCCAGAAGAAACGAGCGCGATGTCAAATAATGTTTTGCCAATTTCTTCGAATCGTAAACCTGAAAATGATGTTTTTATTATAAAAGGATAATAAAGAGAAGTTTTATTATTATACAGTCACACCCGTGGGGCCTAGTATTACTGCAGATGAGGTTTATAATGATATTAACTGTTAACTGTCCATTGCTGAACATAGGTTTCTCGCTATTGGAGGGGTTTGCTAGTTGCTACGCTTGGCAGGCGAGTTGGCAACAACTGATGGTTATGGTGATTTTTTAAGAGGGACGCCGCTGTCCATCCCTCGACCTTTCAATTCTCTTAGTCGCCTCTTACGACACCCACAAGAAAGGTAGGAGTGGCTTATTCAATGTCGAGACCACACGACAATTATAATTTTATAATAATAACTTTAAAAACGTTCATACAATTTTGTATAAAAAATATTTTAATAATTCCAATATTGACTGGCAATAATACATTTCCATTTATAGGCTTTAATCCTTTTTAATTTACCATCCAGCCTCAATCCGGTTTGACCTTTTTACTGCAAAATGCCTTTTTATTCCGTATGTTACAAATATATTGTATTCACATTCTCTTTTTTGTAATAGACATGTTTTTTTTTGTATTATTTTGTCATTAATCAATAAAAAGAGGTATATTGAAATTTTACATGTATTAAATCTATTTGTATCATGTTAAATTTGTTTTATATATTGAAGGTAAATTAAAGCATAATTTACCATCCACTTAATTTCTCTTACTTCGTATAAAATGGGATAGTTGTAGGAAATACATTGTATTTCATAGTAATATTTTTGTTCCCTTACTCTAAGGAGATTGATCAAGATAATATACTTATGAAACTTTCTAAAATTTAGACATAACCATCAGACTTTACTCCACTACTTTTTATGACATCTCACGGTATTATAAAGTATTCTTACTTCGTGTACAGTACATACATGGATTGAGATGACGAAAAAGTAAGTTTGTGAAATGTAGAACTAACTATCAGACCTTTTTCCAATTTGTTCCTCTACTCACCTTTTGTGACGTGCAGGAATAAAATGGTGTTGTTTCACATTGTATTCTCACTTCGTAAACACAACGACTGATAGAGATTATAAACTCAAGGTATAATATTTAGAACTAACCATCTTATCTTAGTTCAGTTTGTTCCTATAGTCACCTCTTTTGATATTTAGAGAATGAAATAGCGTACTAAAGGTATAACTCCAATTCGATACAGTTGTCAAAATCAAATATATTTATAATATATAAATATAGCTTATAAATTACAGTTTATTATTTATCATATTTTTTAGGCATCAAATTTGATACTGATACATCATATTTTACATACAAACCCTATAGATACTTTCTCCTTTGGAGTTCTCAAGGTTGACTGGAAGGAATTCTTTCAAAGAATAATTTTGCCTATGTAATTTATCATTTACTTTATAACCTGATAGTTGTATTATATCACAATAAAGCTACAATACAATATAATGCAGAACTAACCATCAGACCTTGCTCCAGGTATCCTGTCCTGAGTTGGACTACGAGGTCTAACGCGAACACCACATCGCTGATGCCGTCGCAGGTCAGCCAAAAATAGTGACACATTATCTGTTGTGAAAAAAGAATTCAAATATTAGAAAATAACAATTACTATCTGACTACAAATTAAGGAATAATTTTTAGGAAGTATTAATGCAATTATGTATCTTTTTTAGGTAATGTTGTACTAGTATCAATAAAACGAAAAAAAAATCTCAATAAAAAAAAAACAAAATATAAAATTTAGCTTTCATTATTAATAAGAGTGATTAGTTAATCTGAAGTATAAAATTGATAAAATAGTTAATACAAATTATGCAAAAAGGATAATACCTTACACATGGTCTTAACAAGTATCATTGGCAGCATAGTGTACTCTAACGTGAATATTTGAGACATTTTTAAATGAAATATTTATAAATTACTTACAAATCTCATTTATTTACACATCGTAAATATTATTTTAACTAATTGTTAATTAAATTTATTTTTTGTTTAAGTTGGTTTGATATTTATATATATAACTTATAACGGAGAGATAATTAAGTAATTTAATTTAATGTATATATATATATATATATATATATATATATATATATATATATATATATATATATATATATATATATATATATATATATATATATATATATATATATATATATATATATATATATATATATATATATATATATATATACATATATAAAAAGGAATATTTTTTTGTTTTTGGTATTCCGTATCTCTGGAAAAACTGGAACGCTTATAAAATCTCTTTGTTATCCATCTGTCAAGACCCTTTTTCTCAGAAATATATGGAGGAATCAAGTTGAAATTAATATCAAATACTCAATCAAGTCTACAAACCCTTGAAACCGTAAAAATGAAAGTTTTAATTCAAGGCAATCAAAAGATAGATGTAGCGTATGTTTTGACAGTCGCAAAGTAATTAAATCCCATAGGGTATTTCCCGTTAGCCTAGAATCCTAAAGCTTGGCAAGAAGTAATGTTACGCAGCACAAGTAAAGGGAAATAATTCGAAAACCGTAAATTTGTAATTTTTTTTAATAGATGATAATGGAATGATAACCCCGCTTGTAGTTACATTACAAAACTTTTTCAACATTATTTTTTTTTAATTATAATTTGCACGAAGTTTTCAGTACTGTGGTCGGTTTTTTATTATAGTTTTCCTTGTAAGTAATTTTTTAATATTTCATTTAATAGTCTCTATTGATATGTACTGTATGTATAGTATATTGGGATATGAATAACCCCGTCATTATAATTTTACATATTTGTAGGTTATCTAAGTTAAATTTGTATCCTTAATTAAGCAATAAATTAGATTTGCATGCCTACAATTTTAAGGCAATTAAACAGATGCCAAAAAGTCTAGTTACATGGCCCTTATAATGTCAAATGTCTGTTTAAAGCAATTAAATATTTTATTTTATTTTATTTAATTTCATTTCAATAAGAATTTCATTTCTTTCATATCTATAGGTGTTAATAGGAATTAATGTGCAAAATACAAGATAAATTTTATGCTTGTTTTCATATTAGACAATAAGATAGAAGATTATTTTAACCCGAAAACTTTTCTTGTTGATTCGGACAATAATGTTTTTTTAAGAACGAAAGTAAATGTCAAGGAGAAATAAATTAAGAGATCCAATAACATAACCAATGACAGGGCTAGAAAGATGATCGGATCGAGATCGTATGACAGCGAATAAAAGACCGTCTGAGAGCTTTTACAAGGTAAATTCAATAACTTCCTTGTAATAATGGATTGTGATTTACAACTCTCAGTGTTATTCATCACAATTTACGATCTCATATTGCATGAAATTTATTCGATTATGTCATTATCAAAATTGCGAGGGACGATTTATTAGTATTTATTACGATTTGTAAGGGACATATGTATTTAATATTACATGTGCTAGAACTTTTTTTTATTGGGTGATAATGGTATGGTGACCGCGCCTGCGCTATCGGTATACACTGGCGAGGCACCAGTAAGAAATGACAGATAAGGTGAAAGCAAGTCAGTAAGCCCATCCTGACAAAGTCAACTAGAATTAGCCACGACAGTTTCCAGGGGGAAACACGTGGAGGTGACAATGAATGTGAATGTGAATGTGAAAACGACTCCATTTTCCGCGCTTAGCCTCTCATTTGGGCCATTGTGCGTATGAGTCGTGGCTAGTGCAGCCAACCTAGCTCCGCCCAGAAGCGCAGAAGCTTCCTGGGTTCTTCACAGGCCTCACGGAGCGACCTCACCGTTCCGAGGATTTCTAAACGTTGATGGGCCACAGCCTCACATTCCAGGATTACGTGAGCAGCCGTTTCTTCGGCGTCGAAACAGCCTCGACATAGAGGGCTGTCTGTGGCTCCTATTGTGTATAGATGTTTGTTTAATGGACAATGACCCGTTATTGTCCCTATCATTGTTTTGAGGTTTTTTCTGTCTAGATGTAATAAACGTTTTGATAGTCGTTAGATGTGGAGGTGACTTGATAGGGTATATTACAATTGAGGCATATAAAATCAAAGACAGCTAAGCCAGGTCTGTCATATATTCAGGAAATTACAAAAACTAATATTTTGTCAAGAATATGGAACGACATTTTATATCTCAAACCAGAAAATTAGAATATTAGTAATAATTTGAATTTTAATTAATAACTTTCAATTAAGAGAAATATTTGACTACAGAGTGTTTTGTTTTGTTTTATACAACTTAGAAAGGCAAACAAGCTGACGGCCCACCTGATAGAAAGTAGTAACCGTCGCCTATAGACATGAGCAGTACCATGGACATAACAGAGTATACTGTTTCGCCCATGATACCTCTCATGCGTTGCCATTCCTGAGGACTCAAGTGTTATTCCTCTGTACCCAGTAAATTCACGTCATATCCCACCCTTCAAACCAAAACACAGTCATGCAAACAACTGCTTTACGGTTGAAACACGAATGGGACAGAGGTACCTAAGCAATCGACTTTTGTACAAAGTCTCTCTCTGGTGAGAGAAAAATCAGTTTTATGGCGTTTAGCTGCTTTTGATTTTATAGGTCTCAGTTACAATCCCTTTCCCCCCGGCTAGAACGTTTTAACAGTACACATCTTTAGTCCATACTAATATTAAAAATGTGAATGTGCGATATTTATTTGTCACCTCTTGTATGTGGGGGGAAAGGGATTTTTACCAATGAAAATTATATATCTAAATATGTCTTCGAACTCGTCAGCGTGCTATGTAGGTACTTAATCACAAACGTGACTAAAATTACTACTGATGCTATCATTAATAGATAGACATGGGTAATATGGATACCGGGGGGAAAGGGATTGTTAGCAATGGAGTTTGACAGCCCCATTGCTAGCAATATGCCCTATTACGTCGACCTCCACGTGGTTCCCCCTGAAAACCATCCTGAACAATTCTTGTTGAATTTGTCACGATGGGTTAACTGGCCTATTTCATTCTCACCTATCATCTTTCACTGGTGCCCCGCCGGTATATACCGATAGCGCAGGTGGATACCATTCCATTATCGCCCATAAAAAAACCTCTTGTGTGTTAACAGCTTAACCAATTACTTTGGTATATACCTACGTATTTTATGGGATGGAAAAACAACATTTATATCAAATATATTTATGTACGGAATACTCGTTGTGTGCGCTCGTGAACGGAACGCGCACGTGACCGGTATTTTATCTCTTATCAAGGTCATGAGGATAAAAATCTTTAATCCTAAATTTTCATTAATAGTATAAATGTGAAAGTGAATTCGTTTTTTTATACACCTAAGAATAGTAAACATGCTGACGACCCACCTGATGGAAAATGGTGACCGTCGCCTATAGACATGAGAAGTACCATGGACATAACAGAGTATACTGTTTCGCCTACGATACCCCCATGCGTTGCCATTCCTGAGGGCTCAGGTGTTATTCCTCTGTACCCTGTAAAATTCACGCCATATCCCACCCTTCAAACTAAAACACAGCCATGCAAACAACTGCTTCACGATTGAAACACAAATGGGACAGAGGTACCCAAGCAAACGACTTTTGTACCAAGTCTCCCTCTGGTAAAGTTTGTTTATTTACCGTATCGTGCCTAAAGGTTTAATCAATCAGTATTAAATATGAGACGGAGAAGGATATAGGCACTTTTTATTATAAAAATCAATTAAGATTAAAAATTAAAAAACAAAAGAATAGCAATCGAATTAGGACCGCTAGAATGACTACAGCTGTGTTTATTCAAACTGAAAGACGTTGCACTCAATGCAATACTCTTTTATTTATTTCCCTAGACGCTGGACCGAGTAAACAGTGGGGTAAGTGCGGAGTTCAAACCACTCCTAAGGGAATTCCAATCCCGTTAAAGTGAGAAGTCGTATTTGATTTAAACGTGTGGTTTTAAGACTAAATCCTCCATAGGTTAAACATCTTTAAGGGAATTATTATATTGTTAGGTTTATTTTAGAATATTTTTTACCAGCGACTTGATCAAATACATCAAGTTTCATAGTGATAGGTTAAGCCATTAAGGCGTTATAATTTAACAAACTCACATTCACATTTTTAATATTAGTAAGAATTTAGAAATAAAGTATTTTTATTCGCATCACCTGGTTATGACCAGGATAAAAAATAGCTCACATGTTAATTACATTGATGTATAAATAACCTAGATATATAATTAGAGATAAGTAATTAAAAAAAAATTAAAGATAAAAAAATTCTTTGAGATCACTTCCAGCTGGTAGGGTGCCTAGGATACTTGCTGCATTTCCACGCTGAATAGCAATGGAAATGCGTTGACCAAAGTATAGGTCAGCCTTCTGGTCACCAGAGGTTTCCACCAGCCGGCGTGAAATCTCTTTGAAAAGATTCATGGCCTCGGGGCCCCACGAATCCAGAAAAATAGCTTAAATTCTTCTCCACCATAAATACTATTGTATGCCAAATTTTACGACGACGGGTTAACTTTTTTTTTATACTACTGAGGTAGTAAACAAGCATACTGTTATTATTACGGTTGTTGTAGCATATAAAAGTAACAAACTAATTAACATACTTACTTTAAAAAGTCTACCGCAATCGATCACCTTTTTTTTAAGAATGTAAGGATTAAAAATATTGTGATTGTACTCTTATTTGTAGTACAAATGTTTAGATCTAAAAGGCTGAACAATTTTTTTTAATGTGTGATAATGGAATGGTAACCCCACCCGCGCTATCGGTAGACACTGGCGGGGCACCAGTGAAGGATGATAGGTGAGGATAAAGCAGGTCAGTTAGCCCATCGTGACGAATTCCACAAGAATTGTTCACGATGGTTTCCAGGGAGAACCACGTGGAGGTCGACCTAATAAGGTATAGGTAAGGCTAGCAATGGGGCTGTCAAACTCCAATGCTAACAATCCCTTTTCTCCAGGCTGAACAAATTGTCGATCATTATCTAACTACTGGCTTGACTACTGATATCACATCGGTATTTTTAATAACCTCACCTCAGGTATTCTGTAGAGAATTTTTAGATCATAATAACTTTTGGTATATATATATATATATATATATATATATATATATATATTATTCATAATAATAAAGAATAGAAGAGGCAAAATGCTGGGCCACCTTATACGACATGACGATTTTTTTAAGAGCATAATAGAAGGAAAGATAGAGGGCAAAAGAGGAAGAGGAAGACCGAGGATTAACTACATGGGACAGATAAAGGAAACACTAGGCGTCATGTCGTATAGGGAGATAAAGGATATGGCCTGGGATAGAGCTGGCTGGAGGAAGATGCATGAATTAGTTGCACCGACAAGAGGAAACTCTTAAATGAAAAGTAAAAAAGTAATAACTTTTGGTATTAGAAAAAATTATCTTTATATAGGCACTTCAGAATATAAAATTAAGATAATGTTATGTCGTAAAATATTATGTCGATTCTACTGTACATTTTGTATGTCATAAAAGAACAAATATGTTTAATGAATGGATATTATTCCAATTTTGTTTTATGCACTTAGAATGGCAAACAAGTTGACGGCCCACCTGATGGAAAATAGTAACCGTCGCCTATAGACATAATCAGTACCATGGACATAACAGAGTATACTGTTTCGCCCATGATACTCCTCATGCGTTGCCATTCCTGAGGACTCAGGTATTATACCTCTGTACCTCCTTATCCAGTATTCAATTGTAAAAATAAAATCGATAATTTTATTTTGACATAAATTTATATCTACATTATGAAACACTACAGTATGATTGATCATATTTAATAAATAGACAATGTTACAAATAGAGATTTGAATAGTAACATAAGAAAAGAAAAAGTAGATGAATTATTTATTGTGTCATTTAAAATGGGAAACAAGCTATAAGTTGATATTGTGAGCAATAAGCATTTCTTTTAGACATATACAGTGTCATTTCGTTTCAAATTACAGTGTCACAGATATGACAGATTATGTCGTGAAAATTTTTGGCCAGCATTAACTTTTTATGAGTTATCAAGTCCATTAAAATGTAGATACAAGGTACAATTTTCATACCCTATAATATGTCTATACTGACCTGCAATTCTGGAAAGCTCTGTCTCACAATCAAAGTCCAGAAGTTGTACAATACACACAGGGTGATCAACCAGAGCCAATAGAAGTAGAAATTCTCATCTGGATTCACCACTGTACGAGGAGCCCTGACTTTTCTTCGCCTTTGTCTGTTTGCTGTTCTATGTTCACCGGTTGCACCTTCCGAACCTGTATCTTCTACCTGTTGAAATATTATCAAACAATAAAGATTCTTGTATAGTTACTGTAAGGTTGACATTAGGTGTTTATATAGTATGGTACGATTATATCGTCACGATATAATCAAAATTTATACAGCAGTATAGAAACGCTTTTAAATATATACATACAAGACAATATCATGCTGTGCACGCCTGTAATATAGTATCTATATATTATCTTGAATCTATTTTATCGTAACGATACAATCATATTCTATCGTACTGCACTACGATAAATTATATATACCAGGACAAATTACAGAATTTTCTACATCAATTAAAAATTATATCAAAAACATGCAACTACTTTAGATTTAATGTTGTTCTAGCGATGAACTCTGATTTGCGGCTTCAAAATCCTTATTTTGCTTTTACGAGCGCTGATGAAAAATATTAAGATATTTCGGAGTTGGAATTACTGGATTAATTTTCTTCAAGAGAGATTATAATAAATATGGGGTGAATTAGTATTAAATGTTTTAATGTGGTTATTTAAAAGTAAAGATTATATAGCATGTTCTGCTCGTATATATATACTACAATTTGTGAGTACAATCTGTTACAAAGTTGGAAATTTCTAAGTACAAGTTCCTTGATGCTGAAAAGTTTGCAAGATAAATGTGTTCGTGCAATCTAAGCTCTCTTATTACGTTTTAAATATCTTTCTTGGAATAATGTTTAGTACCATATGTAATTTTCTTACTATACGATTGAAATATGTTTTAATATTTTTATAACATCTAGAATAGCAACAAGCCGACGGCTCTACAATAGAATGAAGAAGAGTTTAGAATGAGAATACTGTTGCGGGCAGCTTGGCCAGCCGGCTTTTTTATACATAATTATATTAGTATTATTATTGTTTTTTTTTTATATGTTTTTTGACACTTTTTTTGTAGTTTAGTAAGTCATACTGTTTATTGTTTTTTCAGTCATAAATACTATGAGCTCATTGACTTCAAGGAAAACAATGTTAGAAGATTTATGCGATTCGGTTAATTGTTATTGTCCACAACGTGGACCATTTTATATATATATATTTTTTTACTAATTTAAATTTTATTATTTTTGCTTAAATGTGTTACATCTTTCCATTATACTGCTGCTGTCCACTGCTTGTTTTTCTATTTTCACATCAACCTTCACAAACAATACTTGTATTTCAGTAGTAATATTATTGGTATTATAATACAGAAACCAGTGTATTTTTGTTATAAGGAGAACCATTGACATTATACTTTAGTCTTCAAAATTGACAAAGTATTATAGTAAGTATGCCATGTATATAGTTGATATTTACAACATTTATTGAGTCCCTAATTTTGCTTGCAACCAAGTAGAAAATCTGTTATTTATTACGCTATAGTATTTAAGGAAGTTTGACCTTATTTATAGCTTTTGTTATTTAAATCACTAAATAAACCCTTACAAATTTTGAATGGGCGTTTAGAAACTCAATTTTCTAGTCCATTATATAAAATAAATTAAAATAGTCTTATCCAAAGTTTTTGATTGGAAATTTGTTCAAGATTAATTTAGAATTTTCATCAATACTATTCGATATACAATATCAAATTATTTCGATGTTGTGGTACAACAATCATAATTAGCTACTGTTATATAATTCATGTATAAATTATAATGAATTAATATATATATGTAAACTATACTTATGTTGTTATAGATAGGTTTTCAATATCGAATACATAGGTTAGAAAGAGACAGCAAAGTCTGTTGCCTTTTTTATCATTATCGAAAACGTATCTATTGGTAGATTGCTACTTGTTTAGGACGACATGTAGTAAAACAATGTCTGTGCCTTTAAATTTAATGACAAATATTATTTTGGTCATTTTAGTCTTTATTGTAAAATAATTAAAAATTAACGTACTATTAAGGAAATAGAATCGTAGACGACATCATGCAATAAGAGTAGTGTTTTTTTAGTGGATATTAATGGAATAGTAAATCTCACCTGCGTAATTAGTTAAAGCTGGCAGGGTACTTGTGAGAGATGATAGATGAGAATGAAGGCCAAGATTAATTCTGATGAATCTGTCACGATGATGATGAGGAAGCGAGGTCGACCTAATATTACTTGCAGTGGGATCACTAGTCTCTGTTACTAATAATCCCTTTCCCTATGTTACATGGGCATGACACGTGATAGATAAATATAACAATAACTTACAGTTTCCTGCGTAGCCGGCGTCTGTCTCGTGGAGAATCTCTTCAGAAATGAGTCTTCTCTCTTCAGTGTCGCCTTCTTCTGTATCGCCGATCCGAGCTGCACGGTCGTGCGAAGCTTCCTCCACCTTTGGTTGGACTTTGTTCTGGATTATTCCATCCACATATATTAATATTATTCTAAAATATATTAGCTAGTGAAACTTGAAGGGCAATTGTCGTAAGCAAAAGGAGCCATGCTTCCAGAAAATATTATTAGTATTTAAAGGTAGATGGAGAAATTTTAGCAAGGTTCAGCTCAATTTAATTTTCATAAAAAAGTATACCTCTATGAGGTAACAAGAGTGTGAAAATTGTACATATATTTCGTTTGATTATAGAATCATTAAAATTATAAGTAGATAGCAAAGAAAATGGAAACAATCTAAATTTTAATTTCAAATATGCTTCTATTTATTAATCAAGTGCCTTTCACACATTTTATCGTGAACTGAAACGTAATTTTAGTAACGTGCAAACAAATAATCTACCTTTATTTACATGCGGCATGGCAATATTAACTAGAAAAATAAAAATTAAATCTCATATTAAAAAGTATATATATATATATATTTGTAGAGTAAGATCAAGTGAATTGAATTCTAACGCATCTAAAACTAAATATTCTAATTTGCGTCTAATTAGTCAAGAGCTTAATACTAAATTGTCAATCTATCAAATTGAAACGTTCAAAACAAATGCATTAAACATTGAACATTAACACGAGGTCTCCCAAGTAATAGTAGGAAAGTAGAGTCTCTTCAAGGTGAACTACTTAGTATAGACACAATATTCACAAGAAAAACACACAAAATCCAGTGAGTAAAGTACCATTCCCGAAGGCCTATACAGACGAAGGTAGCATATTAGTGGGAAATCATAAACACACAAGGATAAAATGACAACGATACGGTGTTACCGTTGTCCACACGCGTTATCGAACCTTTTAATTTTCCTGAGAGCCTGGTAGTATGCCATAACAGCTTGAACGTGTCTCCATTTATGGCCGCATTTGTCTGTGTCTGATCCTTGCCTCTCATAGTCCAGGATGGACTTCCGAGAGCTTGACGAGCTCGATGCAATGATCGGTCGCCTATAAAGGGATGTATCGTGTTATACGTGGATAAACGTGTTGATGTAGTGTACTGTGCAGTGAGTATGTCGGTGGAAGCCCGTGCCGTGAGTTGCGAACGATTTAATACTATTAAAAGAGATTTAATTAGATACTAGTAGGTTAAATGCAAAATATTAAAATGATTCGGATTCAGCATAAATATCGTTTTTTCATCATAAATACTATTACGTATTTTGTAATCTTAGAATAATTCTTTTAATACATAAATGCATTAAAGATAGACGGGTGTTAATTTAAATAGCAACTATAATGTTGATTAGATGCTAATGTAATAGGTTCTAATTTCAGAATGGTATTTTAATTGAAACAACATAAATTTATATTTTTTAAAAACATCAAAATCAGATATACCTACACATCTGATCTTGGAGCAACTGACAGCTTTAAGATAAAAAGGAAATGTTTTAAACCTAAATACCTAGTCAATACTTTTTTTGATAATTTAGTTTTAATATTTAAAGCAGTTTAAAGGTTCGTTTACATATCAACTTACATAGCTGGTTTTTTAATAATACAAATTATATTATGAATTTACATCTGTAATCACCATGACGATGCTCTAATACCGTCTGTTGGGGTCGACGTAATATATTTTACCCTTTACCAATTTCTTGATTGAAACCGAAATATTTCTCTTCCTTTAGAAGTACTATTCTAATATATTTTTTTATAATATTGTTAAATCACGGATATATTGAATAAGTCTTTCTTGAAGTTGGTATCAAAATATGTTCACGACTATAATCCCTAATAGCGTAATTAGAGACATTTGTAAACTGTTGTGGTGAACGACATTTGATATACCCATATTTTGCTAAACATATTTTAATTTAACATGGCTGGGAACAATTCTACTATTGTCACAACAATTCTACTGTTATCAGCGTTATCCGACTGACCCGGTTACGCGGACAAGTGTATCTTTTGTGTCTATTGCTTATTTTCTTTTGTTCCCCATGTTGTATACTCATGTATTTATTTATTCAAAGTCATGCCGAGACTTTATCCGCGTGACAGAGATGTATTTATTGACTGCGATAAAAAATAAATTACGTATTCCTTCATTCCAAATTATTTTGTATGTTCAATTTCATGACGATTGGTCTAACAAATTTGGAAGCCAAGAGATAACAAAGTCAAATGTAAGGGTATTCATTATTTCAGCTTCGTCGAAGTGCGGCAGTTTCGTAATTATCTGTCAATTTACAAAAATAATTTGACATATTTCAACATTTCTGAACCGAACTAAAATGCTAATGTAATAGATATTAAGTTGTCATTGAAAATTTGATTTTTGTAAAGTGAAAAGTTTTTATTAGAGTAAGATCAAGTGAATCGAATTCTAATACATTTAAAACTAAATGAATTAATTTGCAAGTGCTAACGTATATTATAGATACAGTTTTAGTTTGATAGAAGACATTTTTTTTAAATAATCAATTAGAGACATGGAAAAATGTTTAACATTTGAAAATTAACAGTTAATTTGCCATACTTTGGCAAGCTAAAGTATGAGCGCTCTTAAATTTATAACACTAGTTGAGTCTAATAAATTATAATTACTATTAAAACTAACACTTGTTTTAATGCAAATTTCATATTATTATTTTTTATCGATTCGTAACTCACGGCATTGTCATATAAACTGTGTCCGAGACTCCACATAACAACATGCACAATACGAAAATAATCAGCGTTTCACTAATCGTTCACGGAGTGTACAATATTACGTGTTCTTAGCATAACAGTGACGCTATTTCCAACTGTGCAGGTAATTGTCTAATACAGTTACTATGCAGACCTCGTGATAAGGGCGCCAATAAGAGTTGTGTCGCATTTATAATGCATTAAGGCCGTTCAGGCATATGGAATGACTAATTGGTTACTAATTTAAAGGTCATAATCGATAAAAAGTTTTGATGTATGAATAAATTTCTTTCGGAATTTGAAATGTGAAAATTATTATGGTATAAATAGTAAATAATGTTTATCAAAGTAATAAAGATTGTGAAGTGACTATCTGGTTACTAAATTGAAAATCGGTAAGTATTCTTTCAACTTATTAATAATATTCATGTTACTAATTCTGAGACAAGTTTAAACTTAGTTATTTAAACTTCAGTACTATATAAGACTGAAGACACATCTCTATGCTATCCGAGCTGAGTGCATTCCTAGTTATTATCATGAAAGAAATACTATTATTATAGTATTTGCCAACTATTGTAGGCAAATGTTCATTAGTTTTTTTCAAATGTTTCAAAACGCATAACTTCGATCAATAACATCTAGGTAAGATGTGTATCTAGAAATGTTTTAACAAAAACGTCCAATAAATGCTTAGTAAAAAAGTGGTATTACTTTTATAATTTGTAATTTTTTCACACTGACTGTCATTGTATCTGTATTAATATTATAAAGAGGAAAGATTGATTGATTATTTGTTTGTAATGGAAAAACTCAAAAACTGTTCAAGGGATTTTAAAAATTCTTACACCTATAGAATGCTTCATTATCAGCGAGTAATAGAGATTATATATTATTTTAAAAAAGCTATAGATTCCTATAAAAATTACAGTAATGTAATCCAAGGTATCAAAAATTTACCTAATGAAGCTAATAGAAAATATGCATTTATTTATCTATCTTCCCAATCAAAGCTGGGGTGGATGGCTAGTTTATGATATTATCAACACATTATATATTTTCAGATTTTCAATTTTTTATAAAAAAAAAAAAAAAAACAAAATGACTGTTTTTTGGTATATTTCTCGACGGTATATTTCGGCACCTGACACTTCATTAAAAATTCTATATCAATAAAATTCTTTGGAGGTATTCGAAAACGCAATACATAAAAGTCATTCCATATGTCTGTACATGGCCGTTAACTGCTATTGAGCATTCATTTATTGGCTTGGTGTTGGGTCGTGCGTTTCGCTAGGATTTCAGCGGTTCCAGCTAAGCATTTCCAAAGCTATGGATGCTTTATCGACTTACATATCGTCATGCCTTCCATTCGTCGAGAATGGAGTCAACTTGCTCAACAATCTAGGGTTGGGAAAATATACACTTAATGCTCAGTTTTGGTGTTCACATTAATAAATTTAGAATACAGTGGAAATTGTACGTAGGCAGGTAACAGGTTACCTATCTGGTTTCATAGCTTATTCTAATTACAAATATTTACTTGTATTCTTAAGTAAATAAGTATTATTACCAGTTTGTAACGTACAAAATATTAACTATTTTAATACGTTACAAATAAGATTGGAAATTCAACTATGATATGGGTTTCACTACTGGATAAAAAAGTTATTCGATAAATTAATTGTTTGCCATTAATTGCTATTGATGATAGTATTGGGTCGTGCGTTTACTACGGTTTCAATTATACATTTCCCAAGCTATGGACGCTTTATCGACTTACATGTCGTCATGCCTTCCATTCGTCGAGAATGGAGTCAACTTGCTCATTAATCTAGGGCGGGGAAAATATACACTTAATGCTCAGTTTTGGTTTAATTATTATACATATATAATATATATAATTTTTGTATTGCGAGTAGGTATTGGTAATAATAAAGCTAAAATGTGGTAACTCTTTATTGCGCTATTTAAAATATATATATATATATATATATATATATATATATATATATATGTTAATAAAATATATGCACATAATCATATGCATACTTTACATATTATGACAGTATTTATAGCTTTAGACCCTATTAAAAACTGTGTTAACGTAGTTTGTTACAATCAAATGCATTTTTTAATCGACTTAATAAATGAAGGAGATTTTAAGAGTGTTTGACGTATATTTTTTGACATATGTATCTAAACTAATTTATATTAATTTATACGATTCAAGATAATCCACCAAAAGTATGCGCAAACAACATTTTTTGTCAAAATTGACGTCGATTATTTTGTGTATAAAATTTTTAGGCTGACGTAGATGATTTCAACTTTGTTCACGTGACTAAAGTAACCTATCTAATAATCTTATATTTATATACCGTTTACAAATAAATTTCGTTCAAATCTGATCACACATTGTGTGATTGTGTAAGAAATATGCAAATATTTTAATAACTTTTGCCACTTGTAATAGTATTTATTCATTTATTTATATATATATATATATATATATATATATATATATATATATATATATATATATATATATATATATATATATATATGTATTTCGTGAGGTTCACAGATTTATCAATGCGCTCACTAAAAACCAAGAATAGAACATTACAATAATACAAATAATATATTTATAAATGTTTTTTTAATTACGTTAGAAAAATAAACATTAAAAATGCAATTCTGCATAATTTTTTACCACTTTGCGAAAACGTAACCCCCTCGTGGGTGGCGCCTGATCAGCATGGAATACTCTATTGCGTAGTAGGGTAAATATTCTGTATACGTTTCGTACGGTAGAGACTTAAAATATTTGTAAACAGAATATATAGGTTTATTTATTTATTTTTGTAATCGAATATATCGATGAATCAGGGTAAAAAGTAATCTATGCTTTTGTTCATTTCAAATATTACATGTGTTTTGGATATCATTACGGTTGGTTTTTTTATGCACTTAGAATAGTGAATAGGCTGACGGCCCATTTGATGGAAAATGGTAACCTATAGATATGAACAATACTATGGATATAACAGAGTATACTGTTTCGCCCATGATACCTTCCTTACGTTGCCATTCTTGAGGACTCAAGTGTTATTCCTCTGTACTATGTAAATTCACAGCCATATCCCACCCTTCAAACTGAAACACAGCCATGTAAATATAAGTGTTTCACGGTGGAAACATGAATGGGACAGAGGTGCCCAAGCAAAGGACTTTTGTACAAAGTCTCCCTCTAGTTAAGCCGTAAAGGCTCTATAGAGCAAGAAAAACACAAACTCACTTTCATATTTACAGTATTAGTAAGGATAAACAAAAGTCTACCTAATTTCAAGGTTTATCTTTCCATACCGTATAATTTTGTAACCATGTAAATATTTAGTAATGGTTATATTTGCGTTGTTGTGTTTATTAGGGCTTGTAGCTACTGTTAGCAACTAGTATAAACATAATTATATATTGCTAGCTTTTACCCGCGACTACGTCTGCGTGACGGGGATATGTTTAGGGAAGAAAGTAGGCTATATTCTTCTTTATTCCATATAGCATTTGTATACTAAATTTCATAGTGATTGGTTTAAGGTGCTATAAGGCAACAAACAAACTCACTTTCACATTTATAATATTATAGTAAATGTTTATAAATTATGCTGGTTCTTGTTGTTATATATTATTTACTATTTATAAAAATGCCGTCTGTTGACTTGATATAATGTATATATATATATATATATATATATATATATATATATATATATATATTATTATCAACTTTTTTTTAAAAAAAAACTTAAATTGTCAATGTAAAAGTTCATTTTGAACAGTAAAGTAGCTGGTTATAATACCGTGTCCAATTCGTAACATAACCTAATTGTGGTAACATAACCTAAATGACGTGGGAAGCCATTGTTAGCTTGTAACAATAATTTAAGCCTGTAGCCTGTCAGCGAGTGTCTCAAGTGGAAGAATAGACCTCTTTAAGTATTTCCTGTATACATAGTAAATTTAATTAGTATTTTAAACAATTTTCCGATTGTTCTTGATTCGTTTATATTGTTTATGTAGCCATTTGGGTTCACTTATAGATGTCATTTCTCTAAATTTATTTCAAATTCGATAAAAATATATTGCTGTACCATTACAGCGAAACCTTTATTATAAGAATCGATATGAACTAAGTTTCTAATATGTTTATGTCAAAATTATTATCAATTTAGTTTATGATTGTCCATAAAATAATGATTTCGCAAAACAACCAAATTAAAATATCAGATTAAAAGTTCAGTTCATTCATTCATTAACACTGGTAATACTTTTTGATGAATTTTTGCGTAGCAAAATCTGCATTTTACTTTTTATTTGTTATTATTCTATTTATTTTTGTTATAAATATATTATTGTAATAAATGAAACACGTCCGTGCTCAATTGTATATCTCTTTTTATAATGCTATGAAATACCCACATTACAATTGTATCTATGTATCTTCTATCCATGTTCAACTGCCGAAGAGAAATATAAATCCGCTTCTTTGGCTCGCTGATAGATGATCTTACATCAATCTTATTGTAGGTGTGTTATAAACTATAATAACACCAATGTGTATGTGTGTGTGTGTAAATAAAATAATGAAAGTATAAACACAGGTATAAATACATTTAAATTGCAGCTAAACGATATATATATTAAGAGGATATGTTTAAGAAAAAAAAAAAACATAAGAAAGGCCCTAATAGCATTAAGTCTGCGTTGAATAAATAAATAATAGGAGCAATAAGAGTCAAAACAATAACTTTCTGAATTTTTGTTTGTCTATATGTTTGTTCGGGAATCACGCAAAAAATACTATACTAAATTGAATGTGTGTTTCACAGTTTTATTCCTGAAGATGTAACTTAAAATTTCTTGAATGTTTTTTTCTCGATACGCCATCTAGAAGTGGTTACGTACGCCTACAAAGCTGCGGTCAAAATCTATTAAGTTAATACAAATTTTAATAAATTTACATCGTAAAGTCCGACAATAAAGTTTAATTTACCGTAACGCAACAAGAGCTCTTTGATTAGTAAATAAATTCAATCGTACTGTGTCAATTGAATAATTAAATCAGTGAAGCGATTAATTATCTTACGGTCGACGGTCGGAGAGTTGTTTTGGAATATTTAAGGAAATTTTACTTAATAGAATTGTAATAATTTTGAATATTAAATTCTATCACAGTGTAATAAAGTTTCAATTTTGACAACAATCACAGTTGTTTCTATTATATTATTATCATCTTAGCCATTATCTGTCCACTGGTGAACGTTGGCCTTCCCCACTGATTGCCATAAGAAACGATCCTGATCTACATGCATCCACTGACTTCCTGCAGAGCATTTGAGGTCATCACTCCATTTAGTTTAGAGGTTTCGAGCACTGCTTTTGCCTGTACGGGGTTGCCGTTCAAGAACCTTTCTTTCCCATCGGTTGTTGCTTCTTCGAGCTATGTGACCAATCCATTGCCATTTCAGCTTGCTTATCCTTCAGGCTATGTCGGTTACTTTGGCTCTTTTGCTCTTTTTCACTAGAGGGAGACTTTGTACAAAAGTCGATTGCTTGGGTATCTTTGTCCCATTCGTGTTTCAACCGTAAAGCAGTTGTGTTTGCATTGCTCTGTTTCGGTTTGAAGGGTGGGATGTGGCGTGAATTTACTGGGTTCGGAGGAATAACAGCTGAGTCCTCAGGAATGGCAACGCATGGGGGTTATCATGGACGAAACAGTATACTCTGTTATGTCCATGGTATTGCTCATGTCTATAGGCGACGGTTACCATTTTCCATCAGGTGGACCGTCAGCTTGTTTGCCATTCTAAGTTGTATAAAAAAAATCCTCATTTCGGATTTTATCACGCAAAGAAACAGCAAGCATAGCCCTCTCTATAGCCCACTGAATAATTTAAAGCTTTTACATACAGGTAACCGTGTAGGACCATGTTTAGGTTCCATAGGTCATCACTGGCAACACACACTGCTTAAAGACCTTCGTAATCGCATATATGAGAATTCATTTCTAAAATAAGAATTATATAATTAAATTTAAAATAGGATTATGAAGTGGAACGACTTGATTTTTTTTTGTAATAATTAAATTAAAGAAATACTTTATACTGATATTAAACATTTTTTTACATAAAAAAAAAATACATTCTCTGCGAGCACAAAAAACCGTGCAAAGATGGGGAGGGTCGCTATTTTATTTATTTACAAAAATATACTGGAAATATTAAGAAATATATTAAATATTCTGAAAATACTATACTCAGATATTTACAAAAAAAAAGTAATTTAATGGACTTATTATATTTACTTATTCTTTATTATTTGATATCATTAATGACAATAAGTTGATTATAATATGTATATGTTTTCCATTTTTAGTACTACATATTAGAATTATCTGATGAATAAAAAATGAATAAAATGTATTCATTTTATTCATTTAGCTTTATTTAAAAGATAAGCATATATCATTCAACAATGTAGTCGATTGATCTCTGCTGCTTTACTGCCGTTTACATGCATAGTGCAGTCTCCTTAGCATTCCTTGGGGAAACGCATGTATCTTGGGCAATATAAGTAAAGATTATCGATATACAGAATATATAAATTATATAAAATGTATAAATATATAAATTGTAATCAAATGGTAAACGCGTATAGTCGAATAATGTAGTTAAATCATCTGTACTGTACAATGTAGCCGAATTATCTATACTATAGACAAACGAGTCGTTTTCAATAGAATTCAATGAATACGTAACGTGACAAAAGGTTTTTGATTACTAAACAGATCCAATTTTGTTTACATTATCATAGAAGTACTGCCTATATAAAATTAGTAACAAATTGAAACGTTCAATTTATTACAAATTTTATTTAGACAGTACTTGTTGTACAAATTGTTATAATACGCATTTTTTTTTATTTTAGTTTCTTTATTAATGTTTTTTTTTGTATGTAGTTCCTTTATTATAATTTTTAATCATTTTTGATCCCAATATGGGCGTAGTCGTATATTTTTGCAAAATATTTTTTTTTTCTTTCAATCAATTAATTGATTTGTCCTACTCACTCCAGAATGTCTCATGTTCACTTCAGGAGCTTTTAACTATGTGCGAAACATGTTTCAGAGTGCATAATGTATCTTTTTGGAATTTTAGAAATGACAATAATATTATAAATAGACAGTGTTCTGTATACTTACGTACATAATGTATCTTGACGTATCTATATTTAATTATTTAATAAATAAAATAAGTTTATACGCTTTAAAAGGTGTAAAAATTAGTACAAAAAATATATATAAAGGAACCACTAATAACTTTATCACACAAGATTGTATGAAAAAGTTGATCCGCTTTTTCTGAGCATTTGTATGGAGAGATTCTATCTATATAATCTAAGATTTCACATTAATACTATGAGCTTAGGTTATAAATATTGGTCAGAATTCACTTCCATAAAGATAAAGAAAGTATAATAGCGGAACTATATCCAATACAGGATTATGGCGTTCGCTTTAGGGCCTTACATAAATAAATAATAATAGAGAAAGTGTTATTGTGGGTCATATTTATTACATCGACTTCAATAAATAGTTGTTTATAAATGTCATGACATATAACTCAATGCCAGCAGGTGCCCTGATCCCAGAATATAACGAATCAATAAAATCGCTCACTCGAATGTAACTCGACGTAGCTACTTAGCTATCTTTGAGTGATCTTAATTAATTTTAAATTAACAATTCGTAGCAAACACTTGAAATGTTATTTCCGTGAAGTTTAAGTGATATTTGTAAACTTTCCTTTGTGTATAATGATTTATTTTTGTATTTGTACTATTTTTTTTTTATAGTATTCGAGTTACTATATTAATTTGACAAAGTCTCATCAATTAATATAGAATTTAAGAATATGATCACTAAATAATGTCCTACGACTTAAAACATTAATATGATTTACAAATTAAATTTCTTAGTCTATGACGTGTTTTGATCAATTTTCCTAAATTGATCAAAACATTTCTTGTTAAATAGAATAACCAAAAATGAGATGCTAATAAGAAGACCGTAATAAAGTAAAAAAACAAATGATTATTTATTAATGTATTTTTTTAAAGATAGGCACTAAATACATGACGAAAAATTTTAGGTAAATTTGTATTAAAACCTAATTTATATGATTTTTCTCATTACTTGGTCTATTAAATTTACAGGCATTAATTTATTCAAATACTATTCATAGATTGGAAATCTGTTGTGCTTCAATAAACTAGAATTCTTCAACCGTGTCGTTGCGCAAAGCTTGAGATAGCAAACTATCCTAAACTATTCATTAACTATAGATGTTGTATCTATTTTCCAATGGGGCAAAGAATATTTATATCTCCTCTAAGGAAAGTTTCGCGTTTGTTATTTGGAAAAGCTCATAGATTATTCTAGATATAATAGTCTCTGGAGAGGCGCTGCGCCAAATATAGCACACTTTTTATTCTTTTGTGTGTGGATATCAATCATAAATAATACTTGACTTACACGCGTTTATAGATTTAGTTTTTGTTTTAAAATGTTCAAATTTAATTTGGATAAAAAATATATTTACTTTTATTATGATTTTTAACATTCTATGAAGAATAGATTTACATTTAAATTGTATAAAGTAAATTAAGAAAATAAATTAACTATCCGAATTGTCCTGTTTGATCCTTCGTTTATTTCTTCTAAACCACGCAACGGATTTTAATACGGGTTTCACTGTCGTTTAGATACTTTTTAACGGAAGCTATTAATATGTGATGTACAATCCTTTTGTTTTACTTTGAAAATTATATCCAACCTCCATATAGCGATGTACACGTATATAAGAATAATTTTGGACCATACCTAATATTCCCTTTTCCGTGAGAATTCCAGGAAAATCTTTTTTAGTTCGTGTTACATATATTTTTGTAAATTAAGAAAGTTAAGAAAGATCCGATATTTGAGAAATTACAACTTGCAATAACATTAAAAAAGTTGTATATTTTGAAATATAAAATGTAATGTTTTATATTATATAAGAGATATGTAAAAATGTACTGCAAATTGTAGTAGCAAAAATATTTTATTTAATAAAAAAATATTATCGATTTCTTGTAATAAATGGTAACAAGGTTAACGACCTACACAGAGACAATTTGTTCTCTTGTTAAATATACCATATAAGGCATTTTTATATAAAACGTGCTGTACATTTTTATACAGTTTACGTATATATTTACAATAAATAATATAATCTGTTAGGTTGGGTATTACACATGATACTGATATTAATATAATTAGATAACGGGAATTTGATAAATTTACTATGTTTCCTACCCACTCTGAACAAGACTACCGAATGAAGTTGAAACAGTTGTCGGAAATAACAAACATAGTATGTCCATAAAATTCCAGTTGTCTAGCTCTATTAATATATATATACATATATATAAAGATATACATATGTTTTTACTAGTAAGATGATACTGACCTTTGTCCAGGACTCTTGCTCTCGCTGCTGACATTGTTGCTAGAATCATCGTCTTCCTCTCTTGACGTAGCCGCTGACAGTATCCTGGAAGACCCGACGTTGGTTTCACTGCCATCGTTGTCTTCGCCTTCCGATGTTCTACCTGTGCCTTCTTCTGCCTGTGAAATAAAAAAAAAAAACGTTCTATATTTTTTTTCTTATTACAATGTTGTATCGGACCCGCGTAACTTCGAACAAAAAAGTTAGTATCAAATCCAAGTAACCAGTTTAATATATTTAAAAAATTTGGACTATAAAGAGGTTAGCTCTTTTATAATATCTTTCGATATTGAATTTTAGATAAGGGGGGGTAATAATTGTACAGTACTATGAAATATATTTTTTATTGTTTTTATGTTTCTAGGGAGGTAGATCGATTTATTTACTAGTTTTGTCAGAATAAGGGTAGTGCTAACTTTTAGTTAACTTACTCTGTGTGTGTTTTTTTTTATAAAAATTTAATGTAGATATTTTTTTTATTCGTTTACAAAAACTGTTTGTAGTCTGCTGTTAAGTTACAATTATCATCTGTTCTTGCAAGTTAATTATTTATTACATATATTTTTACGAGAATAATCAGATATGTCAATTTCTCTATGCATGTACATATATGGTAATACGAACCCTGTTTCCTACAGGACTGGCTCAGCTTAGTGTAAGAATCAATGATAAATTTTGTAATTATACAAACATACTTTGATTTTTGATACATTTTTTTTCACTTATATAAGGAAAAAAACTTACAACCTTAATTTTGTGTACATTATACTACATCTATGATTTATAAATATAAAAATAAGAAACGTTTATTGTTATTTGTGTTAAAAAAGATAATGGTTCGTAAATGAAAGGCTCATATTATAAACGTGTTGTGTATACATTTATCCGTGTTACATAACATCGCATGCAGTTTTGTGCAGGAGTTTCATTTCATGCAATAGGTATATTTATATACGGGGTAATATATTTATCAGATTAATAAAAATATCGTGCAATTATTTAAAATACGTTTTTATTTCTGTTTTTAAATAAGTATGGGGTAATACCATTTACATTATAAGAGCACGGGTTCGGTATATAAATGCTTAAACACGTGCAATAACAATGTATACATTTTTGTATAGGTAAATATTTAATTTGTATATATAATTTAAATATTATATCATATATGTAATTTGACTTGTTTCTGAGTAGAAATAAATAAAATATATTATTATTATTTCGTCAATAACCATTATTATTATTTTTTTTTGTATCTGTGATCCATTTTTTAAAGGACTTGCAGTGTTAGACAGACCAACGTTCCATCTAATGGAAATTGGAAACCGACGCCTATAAACATGAATGAATGGCAGTGCCATAGAAATCAAAGAAAATACTGTGAGCACCATACTCATCTTGGGCTGTCATAATTATTTTTCTTGAAATGAAATGAATTTATTTTGCTAGAATGCAGGTAGTTTTTAGACGGAAGAGGTTTCCCATATACATTCTGCCTCTATGTCGGCGTGCAAATTATTACCAATATAAGAAATTAACGTATATTATATATTAATTTTATTTTCATTAGTAATATTAATCAGTACATACATATATATAAATTATTATTATATTTATTTTATTATTCATTATTGCACAATAAAATACATATATTGTATGTAATATGATATTACATTACGGAATTCAGATTTCACGGTTGTTACCATAAGACGTAAAGTACACGAGGACTTACATACTCGTATGTACCAAATGTTCAAATCCGTTCAGATATTCTATTCTGTTGACTAACAAACATCCAATCATCTTTACCAACTTTCACATCTATGGTTAAGTTATGGTACATTAGGTTTTATTGGAAAACACCCAGTTTTCTAAACTCACCTGTATTCTTATGAGTGGTATAGTTTCTTCTATGCTTTTATACATAATATTTATATGTTATTTATTTAAATGCACTGTTGCTTTAAGAAAAACATTCCTTGTTGCTATAAAAACAAACTTTACAGGCATTTACATAGCGTATTAATTTCAATCTAGATACTAAATACTTATATTAATTGAATGAGAGTTTAAAAGCGAAGCAAAAGAATAAAATAGAATGCAAATGATGTTGCTTTTCATAAGTTTAAAATGTGAAATCTAAATTATTAAAGTTATTAAAAAAGTGATCTACCAGTGAAATTATATACTTATTCCTAAAGAAACATATGTTTAAAAAAAATGTCAAGTCTTCTTAACTATTTTAACACATTAGTTTAACACTTTATTTGCTGAACCTGGTCCAATGTTTATTTCAATTTACGATTATGGGAGATAAGCACTGCCATGTGTAGTGTTGCCAGATTAGTTACTTTTTCCCTAATATTAGGTAAAAAAATTCTCTTAGTGAAATTTTGGAATAATGAAATGCTTGTAAAATGTTTTGAGAAAAGTGAAATGTACTTGAAGAAATTTGGTTTTGAAAAGATTTGTTTTGAAAGTTTGATATTTGTAAATCACGCAGCGGTACAAAAATACCGTATAATATGGCAATAAATGTAATAAATAGAGTATAAAAGAAGTTAAGGATTAGAAAAGATGTTGTTTTCGTCGTTCACTTTGCGAACACATGGCAAAACGTAGTGATATTAGTAATTAGATAAAAGTGAAAAAATGGTATCGATTTGGAGAAAAATAATTGATGTTTAGCTAAAAATAAAAAATGGCACCTAGCAACACTGCGTATGGATTACATCGACTTTGCAAAGTTGAATTCCAAGTATATCCGTAATAATATTAGACTCAAGATTTTGCATCCAGAGCCGTAAAACACATTAAAAAAATACATCAACTCGCGAGACTGGTCCACGCGTACTTGCAAAACTGTAGCGTTCCGCGTGTCGAGAACGAGAAGTGATTTAAAAGTGACGTCCTAAATTCGCCAGGTTGTCAGCATTTAAAATGTTAGAAACTGGACGAGCCATATTACTATAGACTCATTTTTTGTTATGTTTCGATCTTTGTTTATTTGGGAAAAATATTTAATTTCACTGGACAAGAACACACCGTCCAAAATATATTAAATGTTATAATTTTATCCAGCATATAATATCTACATAGCTGTATAGGTATAAATAATAACTACATTAATCTAAATTGCTATTATGAAATAGAATGAAATGGTAATCTTATTGAAGCCTTAGGCAATATATATACGCTTTAAGGCAATTCATTAATTATTCAGGCATTACTCTGCAATACTAAATAATATCTACATGTTTCTATGAATAAATTAAATATAACAAAATGAATTTGTAATAAGTTTGTGATGATATTAAGTTATTCATTGAGTAAATCCTAAAAAATTAAAAAGTATTTAATTTTATTAAGGGATTCTAAAAGAGGAATATGTTTTTATTTATTATTTTATTTAAATGATATTGTTGCCAGTTTTAAAAAGATTTACATGATTATTTTTACATCGATAAAAATTATTACATAATTATTAATGCATTTTAAACACTGTGTCATAATAAATTTGTCACGATTGAATTCGTTTTGTTTATTCGTGTTTCAGTGTAAGAATACAAACGTATTATTTATGTTTGTAAATATTTTACAGTTAATTGACCTATTGTGAACCTCTGATACACATGTTACGAAGCCCTGATAACCCCTGTTTTAAAATAAAATGAAAACAAAATAATATAAGATATATAAAAAGGGAAGAAAGTTAAGAATATACTAAATATAATATAAAAATATATTTTTTTTTTATTTTTTTTTTTATACTACTTAGAATGGCAAACAAGCTGACGACCCACCTGATGGAAAGTGGTAACCGTCGCCTATAGACATGAGCAGTACCATGGACATAACAGAGTATACTGTTTCGCCCATGATACCCCCCATGCGTTGCCATTCCTGAGGACTCAGGTGTTATTCCTCTGTACCCAGTAAATTCACGCCATATCCCACCCTTCAAACCGAAACACAACCATGCAAACACAACTGCTTCACGATTGAAACACGAATGGGACAGAGGTAACCAAGCAATCGACTTTTGTACAAAGTCTCCCTCTAATATTATATTATGGATAATGGGATGCTTATACAGCTCAAAGAACCGATAACTGACAGGGAATGAAGGTCCTCGAGAGGTGACCTCAAATGCCTAAAATTGAGACGATGACAAAAGATTTTTTCAAGTAGATAATGTCCAAAGGAGATCTTGTTTGGTAAAAATAGTAATTATAAAAAAAAAAAAATATCAACTATTCTTATTATAAAACGATTAAAACGCACTGACGATTGACAGTAAGGTCGATTCTGGAGTGGTATTTTTCTAAACCGATCTTTGAAGAGCGTTTATAACTTTAGCTTGACGGAGTATAACAAAGTCGCAATTATTTGTTAATTTTCAAAAACAATTTCAAAATTTTCATTGTTTCTAATTAATTATTTAAAAAATAGTCTGTTAGCCAACTAAAATGTAAGGTATATTAATATTAACATTGAATCTAGATAATTTGTAAGTATTTTTATAATTACATAAACAGTTGAAATATTTAGAATCAAATGTAGGAACGTTACATAAACAAGAACAGTATATAAACAAGGTTATAAATATCATTATAAATGGAATACAATAGCTTGTTGTTATACATTTGTAAACTTCCAATATATTTTAAAAACGGAATGAAATTCTCTCATAGAATTTTTTTTTTTATTTATTATCTAATATATGCCCATATATAAGTTTAGATTCTCTCTTTCTAGCCATTTACAATTCTTTAGAGATTTTTGCATGGAGTTGATTAGCAGATAATGCTGTTGTTTTAGATGTATCTGGTGTCATTGTAGTTGAGTGTGAAGGACTCTTCTCCTCTTCATTGCTGCTGTCTTTTGTATCTTGATCATAATGAAGATACGGCAGATTGGTGTAGATCAAGGTACAATAACCCAACTTTTAAATTTTTATTCATTTAAAGTAAGAGGTAGGTTTTAAATAAATAGATTAAGTTTAACAAAAATCCAAATAGCACGACGAAAACGCTAATAAAGTAACTTCTAAAGTAGCCAGTTTTTAGATGCTTCAATTTAATACATTTCGTTATCAAGAAAGTAATAAAAAATGAAA